TTTAAAGCGTACAGTTCAATGGCATTTAGTGTATTCACATCATTGTGCTCCCACTACCTCTATGTAGTTCTGAAACAGTGCATCACCCCAAAAAGAAACCCCGTACCCATTAAGCAGTTACTTCCCACAGGTAGGGTTTTCAAACAAGGAGGACGTGTTTCACAGGCAGGCTTGGAAAGGAAGCCATTCCAAAGGAGGAACTTTACAAAGCCCTTGGCACATCAAGTCACTCGGGATGGTGACAGTGTGTATGCTGTGGGGCTGAGGAAGGAATGGGGTGAAGGAGGGAAAGGTAGAACAAGGGGCAGTGAAGATCACGGGGCCCGCTCTGTCCTATAAGCAGCTGGAGCCAGCCAAGGGCAGTGAGGAGGAATCGGTGGTTAGGGAACGTCTTTGAGTAATCTTCATCCCTGGAGGGATACTGTCAACTTTAACATGAATTCAGTTTGAGCCAGGGTTTCTCAACACTGGCGCTCCTGGCACTTGGGGCTGGGTGATTCTTTGCCACAGGTGGGGGTGGCTGTCCTGTGCACTGTAGGATATTTGGCAGCATCTCTGGCCTCTACCCACAAACGGCCACAGTTGTGACAAGCAAAGGTGTCTGCAGACACTGCTAAATGTCCCGCGAGGGAGGGGCCTGGAAGCACTCAGATTCTGTACTGCCCAATCCCAGGCTGCTCTGGGAGGCCCTCCCTCTGAGCCGTGTGGGGACAAGAAGACACGGGCAGGACTACCCCTGAGAGCTGGGGTGTGGGTCCTGAGCTTCCAGACCCAGCAAATTAGGGTTAAAACTGTGGGGTTTTTTGTTTTAATTCCTTCCTCCATTTACTCAACAAGCACTTAATGCCTACCTTGTGCCAGGTATTGAGGTTACCACCGCGGGGGAGGAGCGCCTGAGGGAGCTAGCCTCTCGTTCTTTCACTTCACCAGCCCACAGAGGAGACCTCAGCAGTCTGTGTCTGGGAGAGTGGCATCTCATGGGGTGGGGGTGGGGGTGGGGGTGGGGGGTGGGAGGGGCAAGAGGAAGGTGGGAGGAGCGAGGGAACCTCGGGAGCACGCTGGCAGACTGGGAGGTGGGGGGGTGGTCCCTGGTACCAGCTGGGCCTCGTCCTCTGCCAGTGTCCCCCTCCCTCACAGTGCCCCCAGCTCAGGGCAATGGCTGTGGTTTGGGGTGCGCCAGGGAGGCTAAGCCCCAGGCCCAGGAGCTCTTTGGCAAAGATCCGTGTGCCCAAAGGTGACGTGGAGGCAAAGCGGCTGGAGGCTTCAAGGAGGACTGACTCTGTGGGCTCAGATAGTGAACACACATCAGTGGGCTTCAGTGTGGATCAGAGCGCCTGCTCCGCACCTTCTGGACATTGAAAGACTCTTGGAAGCTTTGCACGACCCAGAGGCAAAGGGAAGGAGATTCAATTATGACCAAGATTATTATTATTTTTTTCTTCTTTTTTTTGCTAAGCCCCGGAGGATGGGGCCCTGAGTCAGATTTAGCTGAATTTAGCAGAGTTACGTGACAGTTTCTGCATAAAGTTCATGCACACGGTATTAAGGAACAGACGCTGCCCTGGCTCCCCAGGGACTTGCGGTCGTCTGGAAAACTCCCTCTCCCCACCCCCCATTATTTCTTGAGGACATTCTGAGGAATTCTGTACCATTGTTATCTTTTACTTGATTCAATCTTTACAACTGCGCGAAGTTGCTAGAGTCCATTTTGCAGATAAGCAAGCTGAACTGAGAGCGGTTCAGTGCCCTGGCCCATGGCCTAGAAGTGTCCGAGCCGGTGGCACCGTACAGGACGGCTGCTCTTGCTAGTGCATTGGGCGGCCCCGCAGCGTGCAGCTCGCCAGGGATGGGGAAGCGCTCCGAAGGCAAAGGGCGGCGGATGGCGGGGGCTGGGCTGGGGGGGGCGGGTGGCGGTGGGGGCGTAATTCTGGCTGCGGAGCCGCCTCACTGGCCGCCACGCGCGGGTCCAGGGGCTGCAGGGCGCGCGGCACTCCCGGCCAAGAAGGTTCGGTGCTTCAGGCCGGCGCTCAGAGCTGTGGCCGGAGCGTTTGTGGAATGCGCCAAAGCAGGGAGACTGAAGAGGGACGCGGGGACACTCTGGATGAGTCCCATGACAGCTGCCTCCCAGGACCCAGCGTTCACTGTCCGTTTAGTTAAGCGCCAGGCGGAGCGCAACAGTACTTGCGGATGGAGCCGTCTACGGAGCGAAGACTTTTACATCTCTGGCGGCTTTGGCCAAAAGGAGGCGACAGGCAGGATTTGCGGCCGCCCTGGGGGGCGGGAAAGAGCCCGAAGGCGCATTTTCCAGGGCGGCGCAGGATCACTGAGGGCGGGTCCCACGCTGCCTGCCCTTTGCAGCTGTGTCTTACGAAAAGGTTTTCCCCCCTTGATGATCACAGTAATTAAAGCGGGCTAAAAATTGTCAACGGTAAGTTTGATCAGCAATTAATTTGCAGTTTAATTAACAGGTGTGAGAAGGCCCCTTCTTCCCTCATCGGGATAGATTCAGAAATCTTACACAGATTGTGCAAATAAAGCTCACGTGGTGTTCAAAAAAAAAAAAAAGAGTACTCTGGTCTCTTGGGCTTGTCTCCTTATCTGTAAAAGACTACTACCTCATGAAGTGAACAGGATTTTGTGTGATGTATGAATGTAGCAAAGTGCTGGGTGTACATTCCGAGTGTTAACTCACTATAACACACTGGCAAACATAATAGGGAGCTGCCAGATATTCTTGAACAGAGCGATGAGAGGTTGGAAGTTGTTCAGGAAGATAAACCAGGCAGCTGTGTGCAGAGCACGTTGAAAGAGGGTACATGAGAGGTAGGACACCCAGCTCAGGACGGTCACATGCGGTTAGTAATGAACAATAGGGCCCTAGCTTGTGGGACATGCAATGGGGGACAGGACAGGACAAGGTGGGGACTGAGGACTTATTCCAGAGTGAAAAACACAATGCCATATTCTTAGCACATTATCCATGAGTGCACATACATCCGGGAGAATTATGAATTATGTGCCACACTCATAGAGATAACTAGTCACTTTGGGGGAAATGATTATGTTTAAACCATACTTTTTCAGCAGTGATTTAAAAGTAGTTACCAATCATATTTGCCTGCTCACCCTCAAGCTGTAAGCAATTTCACCAGTAAAAGCATGAACTAATTGGATGCTTGAGAATATCTAGAAGAAATGCACTAATTAAGAGAAAGTGTCGGTTTCCTAAGAGCTTTGTATCCCAAAGAGGGAAACTGAATACCACAGATCAGGATAACAAATTAGATGATAATTTGACGAGGGCAGCAGAACATTGTCAAGTGATCTCTGGGATTCCTCTAAGCAGTTGCAGATTTTCAGCACCCAATCTTCTTAGCTTTTAAGTGTTTTCGGAGGCTTAGTAATAAAGAGCTCTGCAAGCTGAGGAATCTTAGCTGGGCGGAGCAGAAGGCATCAGGCTAAAGTGCATTCCTCTTTGTTCCAATTCAGCCAGCAAATATATTCAGGATGACTATACTTGTTTTTCTCCTGGCTTTTGCTGTAGAGAAACAAGAGAAAATGTCCTGATAATATCTTCAGTGAGATTCTCCAGCCACCCACCCCCCTTTTTTAAAATTTAAATTCTAGGCATTTCTGCCATCAGACAAGGCATGTTGGGGCAGGGCTTCAGATCCTTTCCCAGGGAAAGGGCAGGTTCCATAGGAGTGGCAGCCCATCAAAGCCATTCCAACCAGAAAGGAAAATGGAGCATACCTCGGCCAGTTGGCCATCTCTAGGAAGAACTGTGAGGTTCTACACTAGAAGGTAGGAAGAGTTGAACAGGAAGTTTGGTCCAATTAAAGCCACTAAAAACCATTTTTTTTTTTTAAACAACTTCAATGCATTACATTAGTTCTCATAAAGGAAGTGATTTACAAACAAATTCTCTTTACTAAGCACTCAGCCACTAGTTAGTATTCCTTGAAAATAATCAAGCTGTAGGACTTTAAATATTTTAATGTATCACTTTTAAAACCAGGCAAAATTGGTGGTTCTTTCCTATCTTCTCTCATAATCATGCAGTACAGATTAAATGGTATTTTGCGGAACTAGCACAGTATTTGGCATCAAAAAGCCCTCAAGATTCAATCCTTGCTTTACTTACTGTTCACTCTGCTTTTGAGCAAATCACTGAATCCTTCTGGGCTTGTCCCCTTATCTGTAAAAGGGATGGCTCACCTCACTAAGAGTGGTGTTGGATTTCATGTAGGTCTACGTGGGGATGCACACATACAGGGCTGGGCACAGGTTCATAGCCAAAAGGTTAGGATCTCAAGAAAGAAGGGGGTACTTTGGAAACCATGTGAATGGATGAGAGCAAAAAACTGGGGTGGCCAAAACGGAACAGTCTGGTTGGATAAAAAGGCCAGAGATGGGGGTGGGGAGTCACTGCTAATGGGGACAGTGCTGCTTTTTTGGGATGATGAAATGTTTAGAAGTTAGTGGTGCTGGTTGCACAACTAATAGTAACTAAAACCCTTCAGTACACTTTAAAAGGGCGGATTTTATAGTACATGCATTTTATTTCAATTATACTGTTATTTTAAAAAAGGATGCAGAAAACATGAATAAGGACATTTTGGAGAGGTAATGGAACATGAGGGATTTTCAAATTCTCTGGTGGGGTAGAGAATCAAGTTCTGGTCTGTAGTGTAAAAAGTCATTATTTAGGGAGGATAAAAACCCATTTCTCTTGCTAAATTCTACAATTTTACATTCCACCATACCTTCTGAAGTTTCATTTTGAGAAGAGATTCTCCTTCATTTCTTGGGTTATCAGTGGAATATTCCTATGATGTTTTCGAACAATAGGTGATGGGCAGCTTTTCAGTACCTGTGGTGTTTCACCCTGGGTTTTAGGACATCATGAGAAATACTTACAGATACCAAAGATTTCATAATTACTACTGCAAACTGCCTCGATGGTACCGTTTCAATATAAACAACCACAGACACAACCATTTAGATTTCTAATTTATTATTAAATTACATAACAAAGCTTCTCCTATACAGTCAGAAAATGCACATTTAGATGAGAACAAAAATTAAGTACAAATACAATAAATCTGGTTCCAAGAAGCTATTTTAAAAGCAAAAACATAAGAAAGTGCATTTGGAATAGATTTTTAAAAATCTGTATTGGCATTTTTCATGAGGAAACATCTTTCATCATGGTAAAGTGTGACTGGAATTGATTAAGATCCCTCAAGACATGGCTCAGCTTTGTCTCAGCTTTTTATCCAATAAACATCCCTCAGTCACTTAGTCCTTCCTTATTTTCTTTTCCCAGAGAAGCTTAAGGATATGCAGGTTTATAAAAGAATGACAAGCTTGGTTTATAAAGACCATGATGAAAAGCCCTGCATCTGAGTAGAGACCAGGCTAAATAATCTCTGACCCAAAAGGAGAATGGAGCGCAATCATTTTACTTTTCTGAGTGGAATCCATTTGTGCGTTAGTTACATTTGCCACAGACTTTGGTATCATCCTAGACATGGCCATTTATCCTCCACAGCAAGTTAGAGAACTGGGTCAATTTCTAAGAAATCATATCTGGCTAATGATCAAACATGAGGTATTAGAAAACCAGAAAGGTTAGTCCAGTTCTTTAAAGTCCTTTTCATCAGGTTGAGATTAACAACAGTGAAATAGGAAATCAATGGTGGGAATGCAAGTCCAAGGTGCCTCAGTTCCATAGAGGCCAAATGTCATGACATCAAAAGGCTCAGTAAGTACATTTTCCTAGTCAGATGTATTCAGCATCCAGTAGGAAAGAATTAAAGTAAATATTATTTGGTTTCAGGTATAAAAAGTGCCCGCGTGATGTCTCCTCTCTTCACTTGTCTCAATTCTTAGGATTTTACTTCCATGCCTGATCTGCAGTAGGGAAAAAGGCATTCTCTATACAAGTGAATTTTGGTACAAAGGAGAGAGGAATAGCGAAGAAGGAAAGCCCTTTTCTAACACTAGAAAAATAAAGGGTGAGCAATGCAGGTTACAGGGAATCCTTCAGCATCCTTAAAACACTAAGAAGAACATAGAGAGAGCCAGGACAGATCAACTGAAGAACTTGGGAGATCTGGGTTTGAATTTAGTCAATTAAATATTTTTAACTAAAGTTATCAGCACACATTAAAACAAAATCTCAGAAGTATATTTTTGGGAATTTTGTCCTTTGTGTTGCCACGGTTTTTCATACCTCTTAGTGAAAAAGATAGTTCTGAATAGTTACTAAAATGATCCCAAAGGAAAGAGCCATTATTATATAAGAAAATGGCTGAGGGAGAATAATTTCCCCTAAGAGGCAACTTCCTTCTGACCTCCCAGCTTTAAATAGCAACTTACAGTTGGCCCCTGAGCCTAGCAGCAGGTCTGTAAGGGCAGAAGGAAAGGGGAGGAAACCAGGATGGTTTAAAAAAAAAAAAAAAAAAAAGTTGAATGGCACGAAACTGAAAGAGTTCAAATCAGCTATCATGGGATTCAAATCCTCTTCCTGTAAATGGCATACTTCTATTTCCTTATTCCAGGGCTTGTTTCTGCGAATGAAGGAACTGTAAGAGGAGAGGATGAGCCCTGTCCTAGCTATCTACATTTGCCCTGGGTCACCTCACTATGGGCTGCAGCCCTGGGCGGTTAGTCAGACAGACCTACCTGACACCAACATCTACACCAAGCCTTTTCAACTTCCTTGGAAGAACTAGTTTCTTTTCATAAAGAAAATAACCAACATAATTCTATTACTTCATTTAAGCATAACCCTAACTGAAAGGCTCATCACCCATCAAAAGTATGTGTTTGCTTAGTGCAGCAAGCTAAATTAGCTCAGGTCCTCAGTTTACTCTCACACAATCAGCTTTAATGACTGTACCAAATAATCAGACCAGTAAAAAACACTGGTAGTATAATTAAATAAATAACTTTATTTATGATACTTCAGATTTTATAAATGCCAACCATACAGCAACGAAAGTCCCATAGATTCTAGCTGAGGCACAACCACCAATCAAGGCCCTTTGAAAAATCAAAGATAATAATAAAGTGTCAGGGGAGAGAAGTTTTGTTCTCCCAACAGAGAATTTAATAAATGAACTTCTCTAATCCTTTAAGGGTCACGTTGGGAAAACTTACTTTCTTTTAAGGGCATCCCCAATCAAGTAACTGATCGATCAACCCATATTTAGAAAAATAAACCCCATAGTTAAGAAAAAAAGGTATCAAATGCCTTTCATACCCAGGGCATAATAAAACTTAGACACCAGAAGAAAAAACCTCTCAGTTTCTGTACCAGACCAGCGGTTAGCATAGCCATCAGCCTGTGTATTAAGTTCATCTGAATGTCATCACCTACACACTGTAATGCAGTTAAGAACTACATGCTAATAGCATTTTATTCCCTGTGGCACAGTCTGAAGCCAATACTGTAAGTACCAGAGTCAATTCCAATGGTGAAGAGCGACCTTCTTACTTGGTGAGGAGTGCAGATGTTGAAGTCTTCAAGCTATTTGTGGTAGTTCAGTTAGACAAGTCATACATTTACAGAAACGGAGAAATGGTTAAACCTGAAAAGAATTCTGGTGGGTAGTTTAAAATTTTGTCACTGTCCAGATGATAGAAGACAGGTGCAGAGAGAGATTCTGTCACATGCACCTTCAACAGTAAAACCATTCTCTGGATGTTTGGAAAAAAACAGATTTGGAGTAAATAGATCTTCGTAAAACTCAGAATTCCTAATACATCAGGCAGTAGTTCTCAAACTTTTGCTCCTAGATCATGGAGCATTTATAAATGGAATTATCTGGATGGTGACCCCGCAAATCAATGTCTTTTTACATGTGACTTGTTGAATAGATCTCACTGAAAACTGAGCAGTCCCCTCATTCAGGGTTAATCCTGACATGATGAGGAATTGGTGGGGGCAATGACAGACACTGGCTATTAGTTACTTTTATCATGGTAGAACCGAAATTTCATTTACTTGTAGTAGGAAATATTAATCCAATGGAAGATATAAACAAAAAATCAAAACAATGACTGACAAAAAAAGCCTGTTATTCTTGATGCTTTTCCAGTAATACAGTCAACCCTAGTGTGCATACAATTTACAAAAAGAAGAAGGAAAAAAAAAGGTTTTTTGCAGTGTTTGTCTTCTGTTTCAGACAACCTCAACTGTGTTGAAGTTGACCTGTTGGCATCTCAAAGAATCTGTGAAAAATGTAATTTTCCTTGAATACCAAAACAGGGATGCAGAGTAGAAATTTATAGCACAGCTTATCAAGAAATGACTTGTGATTTCTCATCATGAGTGTAAAATAAAAGGACAAGAACTATTTTTATTCACAACCCAATCTGGGGGCTAAAAGGAAAGCAGTCTTTGGATACAGAGAAACCTGGTTTTCTGAGGAGTCCAGCTCTAAGACCTGGCTTGTCATCAGCCTTCAACACAATTACTGAAGCACAGAAACTCTGTTTCTGATTGGTTTACTTACCTCCTGGGAGGACAAAAGCAACTGAAAACTTTTTTTTTTTTTTAAACTAAAAACAGAAGGAAATGTGTGTTAGAAAAGAGAGCACAGAAAAGCTGTGGCTTCAGCTCAATCTGACCACGTGACAGAGTCCAGGGCTATCAGTCGTGGATTAATCCTGCTGGTGAGGCTAATCATCAGGACAATCAACTTCTCCTTCCTACTTTTCCTTATTCCAGATCAGGGTGGGAAAGTGGTGGCTGTCCAGAGTCCCCGGAGATGTTCCATCAATGGAAAGCATACAGCAGCAACAGGATGGTACAGACGCCAATGACACCGCCCAGGATGAGGGAGTCTCGCCGCTTCCTCAGATTGATCCGCTGGATCAGGCTGTTCACAGCAGGAAAATGATCTTTGGGAAATCTTTATTAAGGTCATATTTAAAGAAGCCTCTTTAGTGAAAAGTCACAGGAGTCACAAAAATAGAGATCAGTGTAGTCCAGAAACAATAAATAAGAAGAAGAAATACAGGGGAAGAAAATTACACTGAGGGAGTCTTTAAAAAACATATGCCCCAGCTGGGGGTGTCCTACTAAACAAGGACCCAAACAAATCGAGGAATTACTACCAAGCTTCAGGTCAGGGTGGGAGCCAGTGTGTGAATGGAGGAACAATGCAGGGCAGGGAGGCACAGGTAACAGCCACCTCCCACTGCCGCCACCCTGTTCCGCACCCCCCAACTCCCTCCTTCGGCTCCCTCCCCCTCCCCCACCTCTCCATCGCTCTTTAAACCCCCTTCTCTGAGGAGAGTAGGAAATTTTGCCAGAAGAGTTTTGAAGAAGTAACTGATCTTCTCTTTCAGGGTGACAACCCCCTTAGAATTGGACAATTGGTGGGAACCAACTCTAGGGTCTGAATAAATCAGTTGCTGGTGAATTATTTAAATTTTTTAATTTACTTTGCAGCAGTAGGTAGGATATGGTAGGAAAGTGGGTTACACTGTTCTAGCTGTCCTACTTGGGAAACATAAAAAAAGGAAATTTCCAATTTTAAAGGTTTAAAAACAGTCACAACTATATTTTACTTAGTATTTCAAAGTATCTTCATACTCTAGTTTGTATGTTGTAGACCAAAGCAAATGCCTGCGCATCCTGTATTGTTTTGCACGTCCAACAATATACCTGCAGTGCATCCTCTTTAACAGAGAGATATCCTATCGAAGTCAAAAAACCACCAACAAAAACCACCTACAATACTGGACAGCTGGAATAATACCTCCACGCTGTGAATCCTGATTGCATTTTCCTGTAACTAAACTACTCAGCAGGGACTATATTCGTGCACTTATATATTCTACATATTATATGATTAGGACCATGTCTTCTACTAATCTTGAATTTCCCTGTCTACCCAGAATAGAGCTTCACATACCGTAAGCATTAATGTGTTTTTTGAAATGACGAAAAAAAAAATTTGCAGAAATAATTTTTTAAAATATACAAGAACAGGAAGCATGAAATAATAGGCAAAAACTTTTACAAGGTATCGGGAGCCTGGGTGGCTCAGTCGTTAAGCATCTGCCTGTTAAGCATCTGCCTTCGGCTCGGGTCATGATCCCAGGGTCCTGGGATTGAGCCCTGCATCGGGCTCCCTGCTTGGCGGGAAGCCTGCTTCTCCCTCTCCCACTCCCCCTGCTTGTGTTCCCTCTCTCTCTGTGTCTCTCTCTGTCAAATAAATAAAATCTTAAAAAAAAAAAACTTTTACAAGGTACGAATCTCAAATAGAGCAAATGCTTAATCTTTTTTTGCTTAGTAAAAGGATCAACAATCCCCTTATAAGGAGTACGCAAACTTCTGGCATTAGGAAGCCCTGTCTCTAATGGGCACCTTTCTGTCCAGTTTACCTTTAGGGAGCCCCCTCCTTCTCCTACATAGTAATCTAGTTCAGTCCATGTAATAGTGTGGGCTGACCTTGTCCTCTGCCATCAGGTATATGTACAAACTCAGGATTGGCTAGGAAGAATATTTATAGTGACTCTAGCTGGGGAAACTACAGTCTTTTTGAGACTTTTATCACAGCTATTAGAAAAGACCCCCCTTTCCATGGGGATTTCTGAACTAACAGAAGGCGACTCGTATAGCCATCTCTGTCACCATGAGGAGAAAATCTGAGAATGAGGCCAACCACAGGAAAGAAGAGATGGAGTAGGTAGGGGGAAAAGAGAGAGGAAAGGCAGATTAATAATAAAATCTGACAATAAAATCTGAGCTCTTGAATCGATCCATGCCTTAAGCCAAATTCTACCCGAGAATTTTAGATAAATATAAACAAATTAATTCCCTCCTTTCCCTCCTTAAGTCAGTCTGCATTGGGTTTCTGTTACTACCTCTCTATGGAGTCCTGACTAATACCCATTTTACTTGATTTTTTTGAACACACATTGTTCTGGAAGTATTATAATTTGATGATACAGTGTATATAGCAGTACTCTGTCAATTGTATAGCCCTATATAAAATACAAATGATTGTGGATGTGTGGTTTTATACTTAGGGTAATGGAACAGGAACAAAATTCACAAAAAACTGGAAAATACCAATACACTTCAGGATACTCCTTAGGCAAGTAAGTATCAAACTAAAAGTGATCTTAAATTATCTTGGACCATGGGTGCCTGGGTGGCTCAGTTGGTTAAGCGACTGCCTTCGGCTCAGGTCATGATCCTGGAGTCCCGGGATCGAGTCCCACATCGGGCTCCCTGCTCAGCAGGGAGTCTGCTTCTCCCTCTCCCGCTCCCCCCTCTTGTGCTCTTTCTCTCTCTCACTCTCTCTAATAAATAAATAAAATCTTAAAAAAAAAAAAAATTATCTTGGACCAGAAGGTACTCAACTTTTGAAAATTATAGATCCTTCCTCCCTTAGTAATTGGGAAAGAAAGCTTTTTTCCTCCAAAAGGCTTGACTTTTCAGAGAGTAAACAAAATGTTTCAGAGTAGCAGGCTTACCAGTTTCTCCACTGGGTTTCATGGAAATATTAGTAATCCTAATTCAGTAATCAGGAAACTCAAGAATTAAAAAGGTAGAGGTCACAATAAACTATCCTAGCATTCAGCCTGTGCATGAAGAGTCACATGAAAATACTCTACTGGCAGTTACAACTCATCTATGTGCATGGCTGTCTGTCTCCTTCCTTCTTCTAAGCATCTGCCACTGACTTAATTCTCCAAACTGGAAAAAGAAGAAAAAGCATGTCATTTACAATGTTGAGGTAAGAATAATATATATTGTAGCGTTCTAACGTGGATTCAAGAGCTTTTAAAATGTAAAATAATTTTCTGAGTAATTTGAAAATTCACATTTATAATTTTTTTCTAAATCTACTAATATCAGACTTCTCGTGTATAATCTTTTACAAATGGCACTAAACAGTATCAACTTTTATAAAGTAGGAATTCAAGGCATATTCATATTATGTAATTACTAATGGCCTCAACTGCTGATGATGGCAACCTGACCAAAAAAAAAAAAAAAAAAAAAGCAAGCACAGACACCTCCCCCCTGCCAAAAACTAGAGACTTCAAACTTTCAAAAGGATACTGGCCAAAGTATTCATTTTGCTCTGAATCGACTTCAACATTCCTCTCTGGGAAGTCATGTTTTCTTTTGTTGCCATAGCAATGCTGAAGGGGTAAAAGAGAAGATAATTAATTACATTGGCATTTAAAATTACCCTGCATGGATCCACCATACTCTTATTAAAAAGTGAACAGAAAACTAAGATAAGCAACATCACCTTGAAAAGCACAGGCAAAAAATAAAAATCATTTCCCAAGTCACCTTCACATTGTCCTTTTCCCAAATGACGACTCCAGCCCCGCTGCTATCCTCTGATGTCTTTTTGGACAAGGCAGTAGGCCATTTCCTGTGATTTTTCCCAATCAGTTAAGCATCTGCCTTCAGCTCAGGTCATGATCCCAGGGTCCTGGGATTGAGTCCTGTTTCTCCCTCTCCCTCTGTACTCTCTCTCTCTCTCTCTAAGTAAAATCTTTAAAAAAAAAATGGTTTTCAAAGGGCCAGCTACTAAAATATCCTTAATCAGGAACTGTTGAGAGGAAAGTAGGAAATTACGATCATAAAAATAGAACCAAAAGTGTAACACATCACAAAATATTCATATATAACCAGTCCTTAATTTATGAAAAGATTATGTTCCAGAATTCTACTTGGGAACCAACTAGGCAGATTTTATTTTTTTATTTATTTGTTTATTTGACAGAGAGAGAGAGAGAGAGAGAGAGAGAGTGAGAGAGGGAATATAAGCAGGGGGAGTGGGAGAGGGAGAGGGAGAAGCAGGCTTCTCGCAGGGATCCCAACATGGGGCTCAATACAGGACCCTGGGGTCATGACCTGAGCCAAAGGCACCAGTGACAGCACAAGCAGGGGGAGTGGGAGGAGACAGAGAGGCAGAGGGAGAAGCAGGTTCCCAGTGGGGCAGGGAGCCTGATGAGGGGCTGGATCCCAGGACCCCGGGATCATGACCTGAGCCGAAGGCAGACGCTTAACCAACCTGAGCCACCCAGGCGCCCCAACTAGGCAGATTTTAGGAGACACATTCAACATTTTGCTGGGTTTCCAAACCAGTTGACAAAGGTTACACATTCACTAAATGACTGAGAGAGATGGGGTAAAGTCCCTTCTCTTACAAAGAGAACAGTCTCTTCCACGTGACTACTCTGATGTACTGTTTAAAAGAATCTCAGTTAATTTTTTTTACTTTCACTGCCAGGATTAACTTTCAACAGCCTTATCTCCCTGGACATTAGAAACCTAGAGGGCAGGGTCAGTATCCATTTTGATACGTAACACACAGGGGAGTGCTATAGATACTGACGTTATAAAAACAGCAGGAAACAGAATGTTCTTGAATAATTCTGAAAATATATGAAACATTAAAAAAAAAATAGCAACAGAGATGAAGAGATTCTGGGAAGATGATGATCAGAGCACATATTCCTGACCTCATCTCTGGTCTAATTTCCTCCATGGAGGAACACAAGAACAAGGCAGATATGAAGGGGAGGGGTCCATCTGAGATCCCAAGTTCTTTTGAAATCTCCAGGGAAGAAAGCCAGGTAGGCTATACTCTCTCAAGCAAGGGAAGAACCAAGGAACTGATGGCAGGGAAGACTAGATTTTCCTTCAAGCCTGGGGCAAAGACCTAGGTTTCACTGCATAGTGAGGAGCCCAGAGAGTGGAAGAGATGGACCTGCATGCATGGGAGCTGCAGTGATGGACGGAGCTGCTCCCAGTACCTGCAGCTGATAAAGGGCTGCTATGCACAACCAGAGGAACCTATAAGCTGAGAGCTGACAGTCCACCAGCTGGTGTGATGCCAAGCCCTGAAGAAGAAAAAAACTGCTGGGCCATCCACTACCACCTGTTATGCCTCTGCTTAGGGGTCTCTAATAGCCTGACCTATCTGGGAGCTGACTGAAAGTACTTTTGAACAGGCAACACCAGGTATCCTATTGGAGGAAAATGCTAGAGGGAGTACTCTAAGCAAATGGCAAATCAAAACTGAAATTTCAAGATTTGAGAAGGAGGCGAAGAAGAAACAAAAATGTGTGAGGAGATAGATAAAAGGATATATATTAGAACATTGTTTGATATAGTAAAAGACAAACACACAAAAACACCCCCCCTCCCATGGAAACAACTTTGGAATGGTTTAACAGATTATGATATAACCATACTATGAAATAATATTTGGTTATTAAAAAGAATAATATGGCATTTTTCTATTAACCTGGAGGAATGTTTATGATATACTGAATGATTAAAGCAAGCCACAGAATGTGTGAAGTATGAATGCTTTTTCATTTAAAGCAATAAAACATCTTTGTATATGTTTGTATGACAGTGAGAGCATATTTGAAAGACATTAACAACTGTCAGTTAATACATGTTACTCAGGGGATAGGAATGGAGGGACACTACCAGGAGATGAACTTTTTATACATTTTACTTTTAAACTGTTCCAATAAGAACATTGTACTTTTCTGAAACATACATATCTAATAAAGGAAATTGAAAAGAAAATTGCAGGAATTCCACTTGAGTGACTAAGAAATGTGAATAACATTATCAGCACCAAATCTGCTGCAGTTATTCACCTTAGTACCACTACGAATCAAGCAATGATTTATAAAAGTTTTTCTCAGATCCTAGAAAAGATCAAGAATTGAGGGGATCAGGTATCTCTGAAGGTAAAACTGTGGAATACAGCTAGAGATGGAAATCCTTAGAAATTTGTACAAGGAACTGCCAGACCCCTATATTACCCTCCCTGAATCATGAGGTCAGGTGACTGCCCCCAGTTCAGTAGAAGATCTAACCTAGAAGAGACCTCAGAGATAATGACACTTTGAAGCTCCCAATGAAACAGCCAGGCCCCCTTCTGATCATCCATTGTGAGGCCTACTACTTGGCAAGTGTCCCACCACCCATGGACACAGAATGTGCTTCCAAGTACTGGATTTTGGAGCCTTACCCTTAAATATGAACAAAGAGGGGTGCCTGGGTGGTTAGTTGGTTAAGCGTCTGCCTTCAGCTCAGGTCATGATCCCAGGGTTCTGGGATCGAGCCCCACGTCGGGCTCTCTGCTCACTGGGAGTCTGTTTCTCCCTCTCCCTGCTGCAACCCCTGCTTGTACTCTCTCTCTCTGTCAAATAAATAAAATCTTAAAAAAAAAATAAATATGAACAAAGAACAAAGAATCACTACAAATTTGAGAAGAGCCTCTAATGAAAGACAGAGATCCAAACAAACCAACCAGCAAACAGAAAAGTGAATCTGAGGAAACAGAGGCAATAATAGAAGCTCAAGAAAGTCTAAAATTAAATTATATTTAATGTCTTCAGAGAGAGAAAAGAAGGCATCACATCCATGAAACATATAAACATATAAATACATGTATATATGCATGTGTATATGTGTGTGTAAGAGTGTACTCACCCCTTAGAAAAGAGCAGGTGTAAATTTAAAAAAAGAATGGAAATTAAAACGTAATAGAAGCGTTGAAAGGACAAATTGAGTAAACCCCTCAGAAAGTAGAAAAAAAGGTAAATGGAAAATGAAGACAAGACAGGAAAAACAGAAGGTCCAACACATTTATTACCTTTTAAAATTAAAAACAAAAACCAGAAAACAAAACAGTGAAAGAGGAGGTGGGGAAATGATAGTTTAAGAAAATTTCCCAGAACTGAAGATGAGTTTCCAGATGGTAGGAGCCCACCCAATGCCCAGTGCAATGAACTGGAAAAGATGCATGCTAAACTCACTATGGGGAGGTTAAAAAACACCCAAAACATGGGGAAAAAAGGATGACCCTAAAAGCTTCCAGAAGAAAAAAGCTCATCACATACTAAGGACCAGATATCTTAACTGGCACTGGACTTAAAAAATAATACTGAAGGGGCACCCAGGTGGCTCAGTCAGTTAAGTGTCTGCCTTCGACTCAGGTCATGATCCCGGGGTCCTGCGATGGAGCCCCGTGTTGGGCTCCCTGCTCAGTGGAGAGTCTGCTTCCCCTTTCCTTCTGTCTGCCACTCCCCCTGCTTGTGCTCTTTCTCTGTCAAATAAATAAATAAAATCTTTAAAAAAAAGTACTGAAAATAGCCACCTTCACAAATTTCAAAATTAATTCTAACCTAGAACTCTAACTTAGCTAAACAATGAATCAAGAATAGATGTGAAAAGTTTAAAATTGTACCTCCTGTTCTTTCTCAGGAAACTACTAAAGAACGTGGTCCAGCATAATGAGGGAATAAACTAAGAATATGGAAGACACTAAATTCAAGAAATAGGTGATCCAATAAAGGAGGTTATTTGAAGGCAACAGGAAAAGGGCACCCCAGGACCAGTGCAGTGGAGCAGGCCTGGAGAACAACCGGATAAGAGTAAAACAGAAGGAAGCTGGCTATGTTAATTTTACACTGAATTTTAGATCCAAAAACCAAAAAGAACACAAGAGTCCAAACTAACAACATCCTTTGCATCATTCTTATTCATAATTATGTCTGTGATAGAATATGATACATTTAAAATGTGGTTGTTTTAACATAAATTTATAATGTACTTTAAAACGGGTATTATGGTCTTGTATAAAGTAACACAATTTCATTTAAAGAGAGGCTGAGCTTCTGAAGGCAATCTTTGAATCATATATGCCTCTGTTTTTTACACTGGGACTATCACCATCTCCCATGCACTTTGACTCAGAAGTAGATAAAGAAGATTAAAAAATAATTTCCACAAAGCACTTTGTATTCCTTAGAGAATGGATATGATCATCATACATTATGTTATTATCTTATTGAATATGCATGATTGCCAGTACCACACACAGTATATCTAGACATACTTTCTCATCTCATTGCATCATTTGGAGTCACTGAGTGAAATCTAGGTTGTTGTTATTTCAAGGGTCAAATACTCAGAGGCAAAACAGAAGCTCCAAATAATATATAATGCTTTTAAAATGATAAATCATTGATGTGCTTACTGGAATTTTCTTACCTGCTCTGTAAACTAAACTCAGACATTTATTTTTTCAACAACAGACAATACTAGTTATACATTTAAAGCTTAAGAATAAATATTAAAAATATTAGTTCTTTTCAATTAATTGATGCCAGAGTCTATATTCAGTTGTGCACATATTCTTAAAATCTCCAAAAGGAAAAAGTAAATTGTTACATACAGAATATGCAAAAATACTGTCTGACACTTAAATTTTATATTATCTATAAGTAATCATAACTAGCTTAAGAGTCAATAAAATTTCGGGTGAGGGAAACCCAGGGCCGGGCCAGCCCTCTCTCCTTCCCAGTCCTGGGCATAGGGTGGAGCGGCACTTCTGTGGCCCACTCTCCGCCTGCCCCTCCGTGCCGCGGGAGGAGCTGCCGTCGGGAAGTGATGCCACCAAGAAGAAATGAGAAATACAAACTTCCTGTTCCACTTCCAGAAGGCAAGGTTCTGGATGATATGGAAGGAAAGCAATGGATGCTAGGCAAAGTGATTCGCTCTGGAGGATTTGGACTGATATATTTAGCTTTCCCCACAAATAAACCAGATAAAGATGCAAGACATGTAGTAAAAGTGGAGTATCAAGAAAGTGGCCCTTTATTTTCAGAACTTAAATTTTATCAAAGAGCTGCAAAAAAAGACTATATCAAAAACTGGATAGAATTCAAACAACTTGATTATCTAGGAATTCCTCCGTTTTATGGATCCGGTATTACTAAATTCAAGGGCAGAAGTTACAGATTTATGGTAATGGAAAGACCAGGAATAGATTTACAGAAGATCTCAGACCAGAATGGTACTTTTAAAAAGTCAATGTCCTGCAGCTAGGTATCCGAAATTGAGTATGTTCATGGTGATATAAAAGCAGCGAATCTACTGTTAGGTTACAGAAATCCTGATCGGGTTTATCTTGCAGATTACGGACTTTGCTACAGATAATGTCCCAATGTGAACCACAAAGAGCATCAGGAAATCCTAGAAAAGGCCATAATGGGACAGTAGAGTTTACCAGCGTGGATGCCCACTAGGGAGTAGATTTGGTAAAAGTGCACATGGGAAGAATTATTCCTGTTTTTCACCAGGCCCTTATCAGAGTTTTAGAAGATACTCTCTCTCAACAATAAGGAAATCTTTTCTGAAACTATAAAGTGTTAACTTGTGGAAATCTCTCCTAGTCGCCTTTCATATATCTTACTTATTTAAACTCACTTTGACGGTATTGGAAACACATTTGCAGGTAAATTACATACATAGTCCTTTTATTGGATATTGTACTGCCTTGCATTCCAACGCAGACTTAATTCAACAATTCCCTAAAGTCATAACCTATGTCTTGTATTCATTTACCATTAATTAAACTTTAGCTGTTTATTACACTGCAGTCCAAATCCAATAGCCAACCCAGAAAGCCATGGAAAAGGAAGTAGGAGGTCAATATTGAAAATATATGGTGCAGAGTCCCACTGATGGTTGCTTTGTTCACAATCAATATGGTCAATGCAACTGTACTTTTTTTTTTTTTTAAGATTTTATTTATTTATTTGAGACAGAGAGAATGAGAGAGAGCATGAGAGGGAGGAGGGTCAGAGGGAGAAGCAGACTCCCTGCTAAGCAGGGAGCCCGATGCGGGACTCGATCCCGGGACTCCAGGATCATGACCTGAGCCGAAGGCAGTCGCTTAACCAACTGAGCCACCCAGGCGCCCAATGCAACTGTACTTTCTTAGTTGCTCTGTCAGCAAGACAAAAAGTCAATTCTAATGTTATGCTAGTAAAAAAAAAATGGTGATTATTGAAAAAGTTTGCCTTTGAAAATTATATTCTTTGTAAACTTTATTTATAAAAGTATTTTCAAATATGCTAAACCATATAAATAATTTAAAAACAGCTTTGAAAGGACCCCATGTCACTAAAAGGCAATTAGACATTTGCACTTGTTAATGGCTGTTGAATTGTTACCCTAAACTGATACTTTCTGGCGAGTTTTAGTTGGTGCAAGCAACTGTATATTATTGCCTTTTCTATTAAAAGGACCATTGACCATGTAAAAAAAAAAAAAGTCAATAAAATTTCACCTGTGATACCTACCAGATTTTGAAATAAAGGGAAATAGTAAAATAAAAAAAACCTTATAATTACATTTTTTTGCTTTTTAATTAGCAAAATAGCAGTAGCAGTGATTCAACAGTTCTCAAATGTTCTTATGCTAGGAAGTATTCCAAATTTTTATACTCATAATTACCAGCCCTTAAGTAGTCCAGCTTTGAGTTGAAAAGCTTAATTAAGGCAGCCTGGTCCAAAGAAGATCAGGTAGAAAGAGGAGGAAATAAAAGGAAGAAAAAAGGGAAAAGGATAATAGGGAAACTTTAAGTAAAAATTCCTTGGCAAGGGGTGCCTGGGTGGCTTAGTCGTTAAGCGTCTGCCTTCGGCTCAGGTCATGATCCCGAGGTCCTGGGATCAAGCCCCGCATCGGGTTCCCTGCTTGACGGGAAGCCTGCTTCTCCCTCTCCCACTCCCCCTGCTTGTGTTCCCTCTCTGGCTGTGTCTCTGTCAAATAAATAAATAAAATCTTTAGAAACAAACAAACCTTGGCAAATGTGTTTCACTTTATGTGCTGATGAAAGGAAAGGAGTCACAAGGAAGATATTTCAGTTGACAATTAGCCAATGGTGCAAAAACTTTGTTCAGATGGACAACCCAGTGCATGTAATTTAAACAAAATCTCCACAGATATGATAACTGTGTATTATTGTAAGAGATTATACTTTATTAAATAATGATAGAAACATTATAACCTACTGAATAAAATAAGAATCCATGAGTCCATTATCAATATAAATACATATTTAAAATATGAACGATGAAATATTTAGTGGTAGAGTGGCATCATGTCTGCAATTTAGTTTTAAGTAGTTCAGAAAAAAAAGTGAAAAAGCAAATGTGGCAAAATGTTAAGGTGGGGAATCTAAGTAAAGGGTATATGGGAATTCTTTGTACTATTGGAATTATTCTGAAATCTGAAATATCAAAATAAAAAGTTTAAAAAAAGTCTGCATTAATAATACAGCTACTACTTACAGATTACCTACTATCAGCCAGGCACTGTATTAGGCATTTTACCTCATACTATCTTTAATCTTCAAAATAATCTTTTAGGGTAGGTATTATCATCAATCCCTGTTTTTAAACACATAACAAATGAAGGCCCGGAGTAACTTATCCAACAGAGATCTGATAAGTGGCACAAACCAAATCACACTCCAAAGCTTGTACTCTTTCTACAAGGTGGTAAATATAATAGTCATTTAGATAGAGCTCTGGTTCTAGAATTATAGAGATTCAGATCTGAGGATCTGAATCCTCAACACAATGTATCAGTCATGTGATCAAAGGCAAATTACTTACCTTAATTTCTTTTTTGTTTTGAACACAGTGTTTATTTCACGGGTTATTGAAGAAATTAAATAAAATAAAGCATGTAAAGCACTTGAGCACAATACCATGGCCTCCGGTAAAGGTACATATGTTTGTTGAAGTTTCCATGTACTTTATTATACCTTTCCTGAAAAATGCTTTAGACATTGCTGAATTCTAAACTGTAGAGATCAGATCTAGTTCATTTACTTTTTTACTGTCATAAGATAGTATCTAAAAATTCACCAAACCTAGAGAATTAAAGCAGTTCAAACCAACAAATGAATGTCCCTTACCTTAAACAATAAACTACTTCAGTGTTATTACAGATAATACTAAATCTTACTGCAGAAGATTTTCTGTAGCTGCTGCGACAGAAACCAAATCTACATAAATGGTATAAATAAGACACCAAATTACACGTCTAAGATGGTTTTCCATTAAAAAGTGAGAATGAAAAAATTGAAGCTGAAAGTACTGAGTATGAATTAATCAGAAAAATTAACCTAGGTAAATCAGCCTAATTCTAGAAACAATTATTTTGGGATTCAAATGTCTCTGATAAGAGAAGGATGCAGTAAAAATACATCACAATCCAGTGAAATTCCCATCTTTAAGAATGATAAATTAACTTTAACTCTAGTTACAGGGTTAACCTAATCTGTTCATTTATGTTGCAAGCAAACAAAAAACACACTAAAGTAAAACAAAAATTTTTTCCTACCTTATTGTCTCTTCTATCAGACGATCTGAGCTGCAAATAAAATGGAAATTAAAATTCTGAAATTATTAAGGCACATTTAAAACTTGTACTTAATTTTTCTAATTTTGTTTACTTATTTTTTTTTTAAAGATTTTGTTTATTTGACAGAGAGAGACACAGCGAGAGAGGGAACACAAGCAGGGGGAGTGGGAGAGAGAAAAGCAGGCTTCCTGCCGAGCAGGGAGCCCTATGCGGGGCTCGATCCCAGAACCCTGGGATTATGACCTGAGCCGAAGGCAGATGCTTAACGACTGAGCCACCCAGGCACCCCAATTTTTCTACATTTTAGAGATTAACTTCTTAGCCACTTATATAAACAGAATACCCAAGACTTTTGAAAGCATCTGGAGAATATTCTAGGCTCTGAAATAAATTTAACTCATCTACCATACATAATTTTCATCTTAAGTTACTGTAGGAATTAGCGGACAAAGATGAACTTTAAAAAACGTCATAAATACCTTATATAAGCCCTGTGATTAGAATTTCAAAAATAACATGGGGAGCCTGGGTGGCTCAGCCAGTTAAGCATCTGATTCTTGGTTTTGGCTCAGGTCATGATCTCAGGGACATGAGATGGAGCCCCAAGTTGGGCTCTATGCTGGACATGGAGCCCGCTTAAGATTCTCTCTCTCCCTCTTCCTCTGCTCCTTCTCACCCCTCTCCCCCTCTTAAAAAAAAAAATTTTTTTTTTCCAAAAATTACAAAGATAGTGGAGGAATTAAGAGCCAGACTATGTGGCTTTTGAATGCTGTCTCTACTACTTACTAGCTATCTGACATTAGGTAAATTACTTTATGGCTAAATTTTCTCACCTGTAAAATGGGAATGACAGACAAGCAAAAAAAAAAAAAAAAAAAAAGCCCTATCTGTTAAGAGGATTAGAGAAGTTTATATATAGTGACTAGAACAGTAGCTGGTACATGGTAAACACTAAGTATTTTTTGCTATTATTACAGTAGTTTCTCAGTAACTATGGACTAATTCTAAATCTAAGCATAAAGTTGATATAAATTTCCATATAAACTCACTGTTCTGGTGATTTCTATTGATAAGTATGCATTTATTTTGGTAACAAATGTGTATGGAAGTGCCCTGGAAGAGAACTGCATCAGACAGGGGCTACAAAGATAAGGTACTAACTTCTACAGACCGTACTATGGAGACAGACAATATATACACCTACAGGTGTCTTCGTAAGGTCGTCATAAACTCACAAAAGAGGGGGTGGTTAACTAGAATTGGGTTAATATCTCCTTGTTCAACACAATTGTTTTTGATTGACTGTCCTCATTAGAGCCTTTTAGTGTATTGAAGGGCAAAAAAAAAAAAAAAGACATTTTAGGATGCAGGAAGTATAAATGAAAGTAAATAATTAAATTGCCAATCTCAGCAAACCATTTTTTATTTTATTTTATTTATCTGAGAGAGAGAGCAAGAGAGTGCACACTCAGTAGGGCGAGTGGCAGGCTGGGGGAATGGCAGGCAGAGGAAGAGGGGGAAGCAGACTCCCTACTGAGCAGGGAGACCGACATGGGACTCAATCCCAGGATCCTGGGACCCTGGGATCATGACCCAAGCTGAAGGAAGCCGCTTAACCGACTGAGCCACCCAGGCGCCCCCAAACCATTTTTTTTTTAAGATTTTATTTATTTATTTGAGAGAGAAAGACAGTGTGAGAGCGAGCGCACAAGCAGGGGGAGGGGCAGAGGGAGAAGCAGGCTCCCTGCTAGTCTCCCCTTATCCATGAGGGATACATTTCAAGACCCCCAGAGAATGCCTCAAACCATGGAGAGCAGTGAACCCTATGTGTACGATGTTTTTTTTCCTATACCTACATACCTATGATAAAGTTTAATTTATAAATTATGCACAGTAAGAGAGTACAATAACTAAGAATAAAATAGAAAAATTGTAACAATATACTATAATAACAGTAATGTGAATGTCATCTTTCATTCACAAAATATCTTACTGTACTGTACTCACCCTTCTTTTTGTGATAATATGAGGTGATAAAATACGTATGTGATGAGATGAAGTGAAGGGAATGAATAGTAGCGTTAGGCTACTACTGACCTTCTGACAATATGTCAGAAGGAAGGTCACCTGCCTCTGGACCACAGATGACCACAGGTAACTGAAACCATGAAAAGTGAAACCACAGATAAGAGGAGACTACTGTATAGGCCAATATTCCTGATGAACACAGATGTAAAAATCCTCAACAAAATGTCAGCAAACCAAATTTAATACATTAAAAAAGGATCATACACCGTGATTAAGTGGGATTTATTCCAGAGATGCAAAGATGGTTCAACATCTACAGTCAGTCAATGGGATACATCACACTAACAAAATGAGAGATAAAAATCACGATCATCTTAACAGATGCAGAAAAAGCATCTGACAAAATTCAACATCCATTTATGATAAAAACTCTCAACAAAGCAGGTACAGAGGAAATGTATCTCAACATAAGGGCCATACAGGACAAGCCCACAACTAATATCATCTACGATAAAAAGCTAAAAGCCAAGATCAGAAACAAGGATGCCCACTCTTGCCACTTTTATTCAATACAGCTTTAGAAGTCCTAACCAGAACAATTAGGCAAGAAAAAGAAATAAAGAGCATCCAAATTGGAATGAAAGAAGCAACTGTCACTATGTGCAGGTGACATATTACATATAGCCATTTATTTATATATAGAGAAAACCCTAAAGACTCAATCAAAAAACTGTTAGAATAAATGAATTCAGGGCTCCTGGGTGGCTCAGTTGGTTAAGCGACTGCCTTCGGCTCAGGTCATGATCCTGGAGTCCCTGGATCGAGTCCCGCATCGGGCTCCCTGCTCGGCAGGGAGTCTGCTTCTCCCTCTGACCCTCCCCCCTCTCATGTGCTCTCTCTCATTCTCTCTCAAATAAATAAATAAAATCTTAAAAAAAAAAAAAGAATAAATGAATTCAGCAAAGTTGCAGAATACAAAACCCATGACTCAAAAATCTGTTGTTTCTATACACTAATAATGAACTATCAGAAAGAGAAATTAAGAAAAATCCCATTTACAACTGCATCAAAAGGAACAAAATACCTAGGAATATATTTAACCAAGGAGGTGAAAGGCTTATATATTGGAAACAAGACATTAATAAAAGACACGGAAGATGACATAAATAAATGGGAAGATATTCCATGCTCATGGACTGGAAGAATTAATATTGTTAAAATGTCCATACCACCGAGAGCAATATGTAGATTCAATGCAATTCCTATCACAATTCCAATGGCATTTTTTTTACAGAAATGAAACAAATAATCCCAAGATTTGTAAGGAATCATAAAAGACCCTGAATAGCCACAACAATCTTGAGAAAGAAAAACTAAGCTGGAGGCATCATGCTCCCTGGTTTCAAACTATATATTACAAAGCTATAGTAATTAAAATAGTATGGTACTAGCATAAAAACAGATATAGATCAATAGAACAGAAGAGAAAGCCCAGAAATAAACCCACACATATATAGTCAGTTAATTTATGACAAAGGAGCTAAGAATACACAACGGGGAAAGAACCATTTCTTCAATAAATGGTGTTGGGGAAACTGGACAGCCACATGCAAAAGAATGAAACTGGACCACTATCATACACCCTACACAAAATTAACTCAAAATGGATTGGCGACTTGAACATAAGACCTGAAACCATAAAACTTCTAAAAGAAAATGCAGGCAGTAAGCTCCTTGACATAGATCTTGGTGATGATTTTTTTGTATCTGACACCAAAAACAACAAAAGCAAAAATTAACAACAGGAACTACATCAAACTAAAAAAATTTTTTTTTCCAAACTAAAAAATTTCTGCACAGCAAAGGAAACCATCAACAACATGAAAAGGCAACTTACTGAATGGGAGAAAATATCTGCGAATCATGTATCTGCTAAGAGGTATCCAACATATGTAAGGAACTCCTACAACTCAGTACCAAAACAAAACCAAAAAACCCAATCTGAATAAAAAATGGCATAAGACCTGAATAAATATTTTTCCAAAAAGACATACCAATGGCCAAAAGATAGATGAAAAGATGCTCTACATCATAATCATCAGGGAAATGCAAATCAAAATCACAGTAAGATACCACCTCGTACCTGTTATAATGGCTATTTTAAAAAAGACTAGAAATAACAAGTGTTGGAAGGATGTGGAAAAAAGGGAAACCTTGTGCACTGCTGGTAGAATGTAAACTGGTGCAGCCACTATGGAAAACAGTATAGAATTTCCTCAAAAAACTAAAAATAGAACACATGATCCAGCAATTTCATTTCTAGGAACTGAAATAAAAAGCAAAAAATAGAAAGCAAAAATACTAACTCAAAAAAATATATGCATCCCCATGTTCACCACAGCATTATTTACAAAAGCCAAGATATGGAAACAACCTAAGTTCATCAACAGGTGAATGGATAAATTGTGATATATACAATGAAATATTATTCAGTGGTAATAAAAATGAAACATTGCCCTTTGCAACAACATGGATGGACCATGACAGCATTATGCTAAGTGAAATAAGTCAAGACAGAGCAAGATAAATACATGATCTCTCTTATATGTGGAATGTATATATATATATATATTTTTTCTCCCTCTCTCTTTGCTCCTCCCCCCACTTGTGTGCTCTCCCTCTCTCTCTTGCTCACTCTCTCTCAAATAAATAAAATCTTAAAAAAAAGACAAAAATTGAATGATGACTATGAACAAGGAAAGAAGTTACCAAATCTGAGAAAGACTAAAGAAATTATAAGAGCATTCATATGTTCATTCTTTGGAGTGAAGGGTCAAAGAACTGTTGAGTCTAGAATATGGATAGTCTGTCCTCTGTAGCTATTTAAATTGCTTCCTAGAATGATAAAATTTAGAATGGAGAGATCCTCCACTGACATGGAGGTTGCTAGATGAGAGGAAAGGGGAAGGATAGAGAGATGG